AGGTCCCCATTTTTCTTCTGTCACTTAACAGTGGACTCCTCTATGCTGCTAGAGCCACCTTCAGGTCCTTCCCACGTAACTCTCTGGGTCTCACTTCACAGCGCGTTACTTCTTCAAAGTCAGTGAGAGAGAAAATTCTCATTTGTAGTGGTAGCATAGTATTTCACTGTATGGCTCTAACATTTTATTTAACTCTTCTCTATAGATGTTAAATTGGTCAAGTTTTTCTTTATTAAAAATGTTGGGACCAGCAGGTGGCATGGTGATTAAGGCGCTGGACACTCCCACATGGCTGACCAGGGTTTGAGTCCTGAATCTGGTGACTTGCTTTCTCACTTCCTCTCTCTCTCACTGTCAGCCACTGCCTCTCTCTGTCAAATTAAAAAAAAAATGAATGAATAAAATAATTATTTTTAAAAAATGTTAGAGGGAGTATCCTCATGCATATAGTTTTGTGACTCCTCTGGTTATGTCCTTTGGTAATGCCCAGAAGTGGAATTGCTGAGTCAGATGGTATATAAATGGTACATGCTTTAAAATCATATATAAGTTATATGTATATATATTACATATTGCCACCCGGAAAACTAAGCCTATTATGCTTTCAAGAATAAAACAGTAGTCCCCCTGTATTTGTGGTTTTGCTTTTCACAGTTTTATGTAGTCAACCATGATCCAAAAATACTAAATGGAAAATTTCAGAAATAAACAATCTGTAGGTTTTTAATTGTATGTCATTCTGATATGATGCACTCTTATGCCATTCCACTCTGGTCCGCCCCAAAATGAATTATCCCTTTGTTCAGTGTATCTATGCTATATCTGCTATCCACCTGTTTATCATTTAGTAGCAATCTGAGTTTTCAGATGGACTGACAAGCTATTGCAGTGCTTGTGTTCAAGTAAACCTTATTTTACTTAATAATGACTCCATAGCTCAGAGTTGTGATGCTGGCAATTTGGATACACCAAAGAGAAATTGTAAAGTGCTTCCTTTAGATGAAAGGCAAACGTTGTTGACTTAGTAAGGAAAGAAAAATAATCTTATGCCGAAATTGCTAACATTTACAGTAAGAACAAACCTTCTATCCATGAAATTGTGAAGAATGAAGAAACATGCTAGTTGTGCTGTTACACCTTAAACTGTACAAGTTATGGCTACAAGTTATGGTTAAGACATAACAGGCAGAGGCCAGCAGGTGGTATGGTTGTTAAGGCACTGGACTCCCACATGGCTTACTACGGTTTGAGTCCCAGACCCAGCAGCTTAAAAATCACGCTAGGCACAAGTGTACATGTGGCCAAAATCCTGAGAGGAGAATAGAAGAGAAGGTTGTGGTGTGGTCAACCCCTCAGGGGGAGATTCTCACTTTCCCTCTATCTGTCTCTCTCCAGTGAGCACTATACACTCTATGGCAAAAACCTTCAAAACAAAACAAAAACATGCAAATGGCATTACATGGAAGACATGAACAGAAACATGGTGTGATTGATAGCAGTCAGATTTGGTACTGTCTCGTTTCATGTATCCAGCAGGAGTCTTAAAAGGCATCACTCACAAATAAAAGGACTCTAATAATATGCTGGTTTATGTATATAACTTGCCAACATTGGCATTATCTATAGATTTACTAACTTTTAATCTAATGACCCAAGCTTAATGTCCTTTAATGAAGCCTCTCTCTTTGGGGCTTCAGTTGTCATGTTATAGTCACTGCTTGTTCATACTTGTTCATATAAACACTTTCCCACTAACTGGCAGGGCAGGTGCTGTACTTTGGAACTCTTGTACAGGGCCTCAGGGTGTAGAATGTATCATTCCCTCCATGCACTCCCTGCTTCTGCAGATGAATTGGGAGCCTTTCCAGCATGTCCATAGCTCTGGCCCTAAAATACAGATTACTTTTCATGAAAAACTATTCTGTAAGATCTCAGAGGCCATCAGGTGACTAGAAACATTCCATTGAATACAGTTCTCTTTCATTTATGTACTATTTTCTCAAGATTAGAGTGCTTTCTGGCAAACT